TCATTGTGTGTTGGGAGCTCCGCACATCACTGTCACTCAGGTTTCCAGGCTGATGGAGCAGACACATCATAACATGTGGAACTTTGTGGAAGAGGGAAGTTGACCCATAGATGTTCTTGCAGTTAAACGCATATCCCACAAATACATTCATCGCCTCTGCTCACAACTCAGTGATCTAAAGAAGTCTCATCACACACCAAATACAAATGTCCAAAAGTACAACTCTCCATGATGCCAGCAAGTAGACAGCCAGAAACATTTGGGGAAGCATGACACCTCCAGAGAGGGCTCAGAGCTCACACCCACTCTCTGCCATATCAGTTTCCTCTCTGTGCATTAATTTCCTCATTTGTAACAGGGTCTCACTTACAAGCTCATTGTGAGGGTTCCACACGATGACACATGCAATGTACTGAGCTCAAGGCCCACACACAGAATGGGCTCAGTCAGCGAAAGCTGTTGTTGATAAACACTTGACAAAACCTACAGGGTCACATAAGGATGAATAAATACCTGCTTTGTTTCCCTCCAGGCGTGGCAGGTGAGAAGGAGCTGCAGGTGATTCAGCCTGAGAGGTCGGTGTCCATCGCAGCCGGAGAGACGGCCACTCTGCTCTGCACCGTGACCTCCATATACCCCGTGGGGCCCATCCAGTGGTTCAGGGGGACAGGGTCAGGCCGGGAGTTAATCTACAGTTTCAAACCAAGTGAGGCAACCCGCTTCCCTCGAGTAACAAGTGTTGCAGACACCACAAAGGGCAACAACATGGACTTTTCCATCCGCATCAGTAACGTCACCCCCGCAGACGCCGGTACCTACTACTGTGTGAAGTTCCAGAGAGGAATACCTGACGACGTGGAGCTTAAGTCTGGAGCAGGCACTCGGCTCACTGTGAGTGGTGAGTACGGTGTGGGGTCCTCATCCCTGATGTGTGACAACAATAAGAATAACCTGTTCTTTTTTTCTCTTTCTTTCTTTTTTTTTTTTTTTTATAGCAGAGGATACTTTCATTAGAGCAGAAAGTTACAGCTCTCGAAACGAGAGAAGGTCCCAACTGGGATGCCCAAGATGACCTCCGTACTATGAACAACTCAGATTCAGGTGCTGAAATGGGTGCTAATTGCCATGTCTGGTTCATGGTCTGATTTTGCCCCATCTACAGATCAGGGACACTGAGGCCTGGCGAGGTTGTGCTATTTGCTCAGGCCCCACGGCTGGTAAATGGTGGGAAAGTCTGGAACCCCCAACTGCCTGGCTCCACAGTCTGTGATTTTCCAATCCCATCCAGCCCCTTGGTTCCAGGGATGAGGGAGCTGAGAGTCTGAGTGACTTGCCCGTCACAGGGCAGACCTCACCGCTGCCTCCAGAGAGAGCTCCCCTCAGTGTGGCCGGGCTTCTCCTTACTGACACTCACTGAGCACCCGCTGTGGACCCGGCTCTGCTCTGAGTGCTGTGACAGCTGCAGTGAACAGAGCAGGCAAAGGCTCCTCTTCCATGAGCTTCGTTCTCTTTCTTCCCTCCAGGGAGGAGAAATCCATCCGGAGCAGGGAGGGGGAGAATGTGACTCTTCAGTTTGTCCTCAGAACTTCCACACTGAGAAGAAATACCTAAGAGGCACAGCCTCAGTATTTACTCTGACAACCCAGGTTGGAGAAGGTGCCCAGAGGTTGGGCAGTTACCGTGGCCGTCTTCCAAAAGAACCCTTGTAATTTAGGGCCTGAGTCACAGTCACTGAAGCCTCTGACCAGAGCCGGGTCATCTGACAGTATCTCTCACCGAGGGAAGAGAATCCCCATGTGAGTGACTTAGGGATCACGCCACTGAAGGAGTAAGATGCTTATGTAGGGTTTTCTGCCAGAAGCCCAGGTTCTGGAATGAATGTTGGCACAAGAGGACCTGTAAACAACCCAGCCCAACCTCCTTTGTACAGATTGGGCGCCTAAGGCCAAATAATGACGAAGATCCTGTAAAGATGGCAAAGTAGGTGAATGCTGTGCTTACCTCGGTCACAACCACATCAAAATTACAGCTCAACTGCAGAACAGCCATCACTGAGAATCACCTGAAGTCTTTCTGAACCAAAGTCCTACAACTAAGGACATACAGAAGGCGCCACCTCAAAACTGGTAGGAGGGGTGGAGATGCAGAACTGGCTGGTCCCACACCCGTGTGTGACAATTAAAAATCAGGAAGTATATATCAGCTGCTGAGGTTCTCCCCGGAGGAACGAGGGGTCCCAGCCCCACACCAGGCTCCTCAGCCCAGGGTTTCAGTTCCAGTGAGAGAAGTCCCCATAACTTCTGGCTGTGGAAACCAGCAGAGACTGTGACTGAGTAATCCAGAGGGCAGCTGCGCTCCCAGATGTTCCGCTTAACGGGCCCGTTTACTCACTGATGGACTCACTTGCTCTGAGCGCTAGCACTGGGGCAGTAGCTCAAAAGGCACCAGGGAAACACAGGGAGAATCTGAGTTGCCTGGCTTCAGGGAAAGTGCTGGAAGGTCAGCTTTCTCCTGGTCAGAGGAAGTGACAGAAGCCATTGTTTCATTGTTGAGCTCTCCCCACTCCCAGATGCTGACACAGGCAGCTGTCATATCTTAGTCTTTAACACGCTGACTAACAATGTTATTTCACCCTGATTTCATGAGACCCCTCTCCCCCAAATTTTGGGCACACCCAAACAGCTTCCAGTGCATTTTCCATGTAAAGGGCCTGCTTTGGCCCATGCTGCAGAATATATCTCAAAGGTTAACAAATATCCTAAATATATCCTAAAATCTCTCAAAGGTTCACAAAACCCAAACAAGCAGCATCTGGCTCTGGCATGTCCCACACCTCTCGCTGAGCAGCTCTAAGCCCAGGTGAGGGACAACTGGCCTCGGTTCATGGCTTGGCCTCTTGAGACACCTCCAAGGTCAGTGCTGGTGAAGGTCATTTGCAGATTGCTCTGTGGTTCATGCCTGGTGACCCCAGGCAAGCACTGGCTGGGGCTGAAGTAGCCCTGCAGTAGGGCCACAACTAGAAGTCCCCAAGGTTGGCACACCCAGCGGTCAGCTTCTGACCCAGCCTGTGCATCCCCTACACCACCTCCATGGATGACTTCCCCATGAGACACACTGGGCGGGCTCCAGAGCCCTGATAAAGTGAATCCTGCTCCATAGGGTCAGCCCCTGCACAACAGCTCCTCCACTGTAGTCACAGCCAGTCCTCACATCCAATCAGCCCAAGGATTAATTTCTCCCATTGATGTGCAAGCAGCAACCACGGCTCAACTACAACAGGGGGATAAATATATAAACCCACTCTAAAGACCAGCAGATTACAGCCCTACCTAATACATAAAAACAAACACAGAGATGTAGCCAAAATGGGAAGAGAAAGAAACATGTCCCAAATAAAAGAGGAGAACAAAGCTCCAGAAAAATAACTAAATAAAATGGAGACAAGCAATCTACCACATGCAGAGTTCAAAACACTGCTTATAAGGATGTTCAATGAACTCAGGGATAATGTCAACAAAAAGATAGGAAACATACATGGAGATAGGAAACATAAAAAGAACAAGTCATAAATGAGGAATAGAATAACTGAAATGAAGAATACATTAGAAGGAATCAAGAGAAGATTAGATGAAGCAAAGGATCAAATC